AAACTAACTAGAAAATATCAATTACCTTGAATTTGCTACTTCCTCTTGAATGCACCCGACACACTAGCCCCAATTGCGATTCTTTCTCATTTATATTAACCGAATAGAACTGGGCGGACTGTTTTTCTACCTGAAAAATACAATGTTAAACATTAACCAAACATGTCACTAAAATAGCCAACAAAATAAAGGAAAGGTAGAAAAAATTTCTAACTTTTCTACACAAAGGTTTCCCAAACTGAAGTGACTGAACAGTCACTGAGCCATTAAGTGCCTCTTCCAAGACGGTGGCTGATACTGATGTCTTAATTGGCACACCAAGCTTACTGTTTACAGTAGTGGAGCATAACAATATTACTTGAGTTTCATATAAAATTAAAAGGTGCAAATTATATTATATGGAATACCTGAATAGAGCGGCAAACATGGTGTTTACTGTCCCTAGACTTGAAAGGTCCAGTTCCAACTCTTGGTTTTCAGAGTCAATGGCCTGGACAACAAAAACTAGCACTGCTTCAGACGCAATTGTTAATCCGCTAGAGATGATCTCAAATGAAATAGGGGCATATACTTACATACCACACAATTTTAGGTATTTACATATCTAACATCAAAACTTCCATAATTACATACATACCACTCAAATCTTTAACATCACATACAAAATGACATCATCACTAACTTATTAAAACATTACATACATACCACTCAAATCTTTAACATCACATGCAAAATGACATCATCACTAACTTATTAAAACTGAAATAGACCTTTTCATGCATAGGACAACAAGGTTTTATAAATGTAAATATTAAACTTTATGTAAAGATAAGAATTGTTGGTATGTATGTAAATTTCCCAATGAAATAAAGTTCTTTCAGCAATAAGAACATGATTTAGTGTACCCTAATTGTTTGCCTTCTAGTATCATTAACACGGATATTTGAATGATTCCAAGTGATGAGAAACCTAAGAAGATATCTGCAAAGGTTTCAATAACTTACCTCAAAACCTGATGTGTCATACTGGCGCCTTTTATCTGGATCTGAAAGAATATTGTATGAATATGTGACCTCCTTAAACATGTCAGCTGCTACTGGATCATTCTGATTCTTGTCTGGATGGTACCTGCAATGAATACCAATATCAAAATGAAGTAACCTTAAATAAAGTAGCCTGAACATGAGAAAGAAAGAGTGCATAATAAATGAAACACAAAGAAAAAGAAAATTTTGAATAAATAAAAAACTTGGCGAAGACGAACAAAACATATAGCATGCATCTGTGATAAAATTGTTTTACATTCCATGTTCCATAAGTGCCTTTCTACATAGCTATGGTAATACTTTCATATGAAGAAACCCTCAGAAAATAGCATTTTAGAGGACTAACATCCAGTTTCATCAAAAAACAGTATATGGTTCTACTTGATATTGAAATATATAATGTAAAAGTATAGGGAGTCTACAAAAAATCTTTATAACATTTTTAGTGAGCTTGAGAAGGCCAATGATAGAGCAAAACGAGAATAGATTCAAGGTAAATCAAGAAAAAAGATGTATATCAACAATACGTTGAAGCAATTTAAGATATGTAAGATGAGGCATTGAATAAAATTAGCGGCAGCTATAAAGTGACTAGAGAGTTCTCTCTTAAAGTAGGATCATGTCAGGGGACAGCATTATGTTTTTATATTTTGTATAGATATGAAGATGCATATAAATTATATTGGCAATAAGGAACTTCGGTGGACCCATTTTGAGGATGATATAGTTTTAATTGGTAAAACATATGTTAAAATAAGTAAGAAGTTAGAATGATAGAGGACATTATTAAGAAAATAGGGATCATAGTATTTGTAAAACGAAAATTCAGTGAATACAGGTTAAATAGGCGTAATAAAATTACCAATCAATATTACTAGATGTAGTTGTATCTCAATGTGCTAGATTTAAATATCCTATATAACAATACATAAATAAATGGGGCAGAGATGGGACATCAACTTTCAATATTTAAGTTTGGGTAGTTAAAATGAGAAGTATCTTATGAGTATTATAAAATAAGAGAAATTCAAAGAAAAATTTTATGAAACTATATTTAGCCAGTTATGTTGTACGAGTCCAAGTGCATGGCGAAGACAACATTAATAGCCAAGCTGAGTTCGGTGGAAATAAGAAGGGTATGTGTGAAAAATTTAGGATTGATCACTGAGAAATAGTTATATAAGAGGGATGGAAGGAGTAACATTTATTAATGATACATAAATGAAAAATAAACCTAAGTGACTGGGACAATAAAAAAGGACAGAAAATGTACCCAAAAGATATGCAAAGAAAATTATATCAAAAGATTAAAAAATGCGTATACCAAAGGTAAAAATTATATGATATCTATAAAAAATTTGTGCAATATAAGTTTAACATTGCAATGTCCTGTTTCTGTAACCAGGGGAGAGCAAATGAGAAAATTGAAGCTGTGGAAGCAAGGAGTTAAGCAAATGGGAGAAGAATTGAGAGGGTCGGATAGCCGAAGAAATTAGATATGAATCAAACAATCGGGAAGTTGAAATAAGAGGATCAGAAGCCTACCCTACGAGTTCGCCTATAAAACAACGCGGCCAAGAAGAGATTCACTTAACTG